GGTCGGTTAGGCATACTGCATGCCCGGCTGACTCACAGGATTTTCAATGTGCTGTGGGTTTATCAGAATGTCACCCCATCATAAGCTGAGGAACACTTCCAATTTCCTCTTGCTTACTGTAGCATCTCCAGTGTTCAGTGCAAGATCAGGCACATAGTAGGTGGTTATTAAATATCTGTTGGACAGATAAAAGACTTAATCCAATGAACAGGCTCAGAAAGGCCAATCATTTTCCCGGAGCCACACGGGCTGCCTTGAGTGGAGACGGAATTCACTAGATACAGGGGATTTGCTGGACGGCAGTGGCACAGTCTGAGCTCAAACCTGCTCCCTAGGCAGCTCCCTGCTCCCTAGAGATGCCCCGAGAAGCTCAAGTCCCCAGAACCCTGGTTGCTTCACGTTTAATCTGCAGAATGGTTTAAGCTTCCCCGTGGTCCTGGGAGCAGAGCTGAATTCTCCCCTGATTGGAGCCTGGCTGCGGCACACCCTGGACTCTCTCTCCTTCCCAGGTAACCACAGACTGCACAGGGTGGACCAGGAAAGGAAGACCACACTCCTAGTCCCCACTCAGAGAGCAGGGACAGGTCAGGCCCAGGGCATTCACCGGCACTGCCCCCCCTCACCACCTCTCACCTGTACAGCCCAGGTGGGCCCCTCCTGCCGCCTCCTCCCACTTGGACCCCTGCGGTCTGCTCTCCGCCCAGCAGCTGGAGTGACTTTTTTTTTTTTTTTGTAGTTGTAGGTGGACAGCATGTCTTTATTTCATTTGTTTTATTTTTATGTGGTGCTAAGGATGGATCTCAGTGCCTCACACATGCCAGGCAAGCCCTCTGCCCCCGAGCTACAGCCCCAGCCCAGCTGGAGTGACTTTTAAAAGAACAAACCAGATTCATGTCATTGCCCGCTCGAAGCATCCGATGGCCTCCGATGCTCCTTCCAGGAGGACCCAAGCCTGGTCCCCCGAGAGCTTCCTGCTTCTTCCTTCTCCAGCTTCCTGCGCTGGCCCTGCCCTTGGACCCCAGCTGCCCTGTGCAGCCAGAGCTCTGCCCGCCACCCTTGTCCTCGCCCTTCTCTCTTTCCTTGTCATGCGTCACCTCTTGGAGGCGCTCTCCTGGTGCCCCAGGGAGTCTACTCACTTCCTTTCCACCTCCCCCAGTGCCAGGCGGCTCCAGGAGGGCAGGGACCGTGTCTGGCCCTGCTCTGACCTGGGACTCAGCACAGTGCCCGGTACATGTGG